ATGTAGTTATATTTGTGTTGTTTTTAAAAGATAAAATCCTCTAATATTTGAGGATTAATGTGGTCAGCTATCCGTACCTGCCTTGTTAACATATTTTAGGCTTTAGTTACCATGGTAAAAGTCCGCGTTTGCTATATAAACGACATTGTGGTATTCTGCCAAGATAACTTCAGCCTATATTTGTGTTGTTTTTAAAAGATAAAATCCTCTAATATTTGAGGATTAATGTGGTCAGCTATCCGTACCTGCCTTGTTAACATATTTTAGGCTTTAGTTACCATGGTAAAAGTCCGCGTTTGCTATATAAACGACATTGTGGTATTCTGCCAAGATAACTTCAGCCTCGCTATATAAATATAATTATATGCGTGTGTTCTTACAACTTGCTTGTTAGTCAAGTTCAATCACAAATATACCTGTTCATTGTCGTTTTACTAATCTCATGGTAAATGTTAAGTTTGTTGTCTTAGAAAATTAGTTCCAAATAAATGAAGATATTCCGTTATTAATACCGGGTATATAAAAATATATTTGTAGTATATTCCAATTTAAAACAACTTAAAACATTTGTACACATTTAATCATATATTTTATGCATGTTGACTTTTGTTATGCACTTATTTACAGCAATCGATTTATACATTTATAATAAACTATAAAGCATGTTGTCATTGAACAGTCTCCACTATAGTTTGCTGTGCTGCATGGGAGGGCTCCAGTCACTCACAGAAAGGAGTGTGAATGTATGGTTTCCCAACTGATCTGGAGAGGAGAAACAAAATGATGCATCAAGTTTTGTTCAATTCACATTTATTTGTATAGCACTTTTTAATATACACATTGTTTCAAAGCAGCTCTACAGAAAATGAATGTTTCTACATTATGAATAAGAGTTCTATTAACAGGTGTAACTGTGCCAAAGTAATGGTAGAAATGTTCTAAAATTAGGCTATACAAATCATGCAGTTAAGTAACGTCATGTATTCAGAAACAGTTAAATATATATGGAAACAATGAACAAATTAAAGCAATGGTTACATGATGTTATCATGTTGATTACAATGCAAGGAAAATGTAGCAGTTTTGTATGTTTATTCAGAGTCAGCTTCATCTGAAGTCCTCTCAAAGGTGGGCGTCATCTCTTCACAGGGTCATCTAAAGTCTTTGTAAGAGGCTGGATATAGTCAGCAGGAGCAATCTACAGATTACACCAACAAAATGTGATGTAATCATATTAGGGAACTGGCACTTTTTCACAAAGAGCAGGGAAAGACTTGCCAAAACCAGTGAAGAGACTCGTTGTGAGGGTGATGTCTCTTTACAGGGAGTCTTCGGGCGGTTCTTGTTCTGAAAGCAAGATAGCGAAGGAGAAAAACACAGGAGAAATGGTTAAGTGATGCTCCATCACATTGCAGTCCTGTGGCATCTGCTCCTTCAACACAGTGCTTCTTTAGTAGCTAAGACGTTTAAGTATAAAATACAGTAATAATGTACAGGTTTACTGTAATTACTTCTATAATATAGTAGTGGTATATAATCCATTTTTGGACATTTAGCCTAGCATGATTCTGAAATGAAAACTGCTCACCTACATTAAACTTTTCATTCTCACTTGGTCCATCTGCATCCTTTGCAATATATCTAAGTCTATTTAATAACTCCCCACCAGCAAAATCACTTTTAAATTACACAACGACGGATGAAACTGCATGAAGAGAATGAATAACATCCCGTAACTCTACTAATTAAGTGAGGAATAATCTAATAATCATCTGTTTTAATGCACAGGGTAATTTGATTAGCTGTGCTGATCATATACTATTTTGTTCTATAAATGTCATACCTTTCAAAAGTTCATCACAGCTGTCTCATCCGCTGCATCTCTACGGCGCTGATATGAGCGCTAACTTCCGGGAACTATTGAGCGGCTCCACGATCCGCCACTGCTATTAAAAAAAACTGGTCCATTGGAGTGAACGGAGTTGTCACAACTCTCTCTCTCTACAGCTCTGGGTTTAGGTATATGTTAGGTGGGAGGAGTTGGATCTGGAGCCAACCTCGCCCCCTGGATCTTGTGTTCTGCAGTGAGGACCATCTCGGGACTTCAGCAAACGCTCCTCCCCGAACTGTACTTGATCTCCGAGTAGCCTATGTAACGTCGCCTAGACAATAATCTCAATCATTCTATGGAAATATGATTGTCTGCATGGTTCCTCTCTGTTAAATTAATCTAAAAATGGTAAACAAGTCCGCTTTCACTGCACATGACAAACGACGTCCTATAGCCCGGAAGTCATTTCCGTTTATCCTTATCATAAACACTTCATACTTAATTTAACATTTTTATTTGATTATTTTTAAAGTTGTCGTCATGTGTTACCTCCAGTTAAGTAATGCCGGTCATTTGTCATATATGCATATCTATTTATTTTCCGTATTAATTTATTAATTTTACCATGGCAAATGTCCATGCTCAGTTGTTTACGCGTAGCCTTCTCTTTGTAATGACATATTTTCTTTTAACTTTTACTTATATTATAAATTTTTGGCTGAACTTTTCATTTTTATATATACCGGTATATAAATAATGTCAATTATGAACACTATGAAAGCAACGACAGGTCTTGAATTTATACTGACCATCATTTATAATAAGAAGCAATTTTGTAAACCCAACGTCCAAAATAATAATATAATATAATAACACAATAACTGTTTCTCGCCAGAGGGGGGCAGTATATTATTATTTGTCGATGCCATACGTTTTGTTTTTTGTTTTTTTAACAGGTAACAGGTTGTTCGTTAGCAACCCAACCAGTTACAAAGGTAAACACAGCAGACAAAATCCTGGTTTACTGCATACAAGTTGTACAAAAGGCGACCTAGGTTCCAAAGGTTTCCTTAGATAATAGTGCTAAAAAGTAGTCCTACGTAAGTTAAAAGCTTACTAAATCCAGAAAATGCCCTGCATTGTTCTCAAAAATAATAAATATAATAATACATTTCTGTTGTCATTATAAATCACGTTATTAAATACAAAAACATTTCAAACCATTATTTAAAAATCACAACATATTTTGTGGCATAACAGACTGACAAGTGCACACAAGCACAAAGTTAATTTTTTCTCCTTGTGCTACTTGTCCAGGAAATGGGTACCACCTCAAGTAATGTAATGTTCCTTGTTCCCAGGATGCCTCCCACTGTGTAACATGGGCACTCGAGCCAGAAGGCACTGACTTTATGTCTTAGTTTCAATACCATGAGCTTTTATAGCTCGTGGGAACTGACTCAGTGCAAGGGTCACTCAAAGAACAATAAGAAATGCTCATTGTGAACATGAGGGAAACAGCACGAGTGCAACATAATTTTTTCTCAAGCAATAAAACAATGATTTAAGATAATGAAATTAAGCACTAAGAGATTGTATTGGAATAGGATCATATGCATCCATTTTAAATATAACTATAATGGCAAACTGACTTTTAATATTGTCAAAAGTCTGGAAGTGATTTAAGATGTTTTGAATTAGATATTCTATATGTGAGTACAAGACTAACATGACACTGTACAATATGTTAGCAAAACAAAGGTGAGATAAAATGAACAAAATTCCTCATATATTAGTTTTATTTTACAATGTATAAAAAGTAATATTGTTACTGTAGAAACATGTCAGGGGTGTATATGTTCTAGGTTTAACACAAAAGAAATACAGTAGTTTGTCTTTTAAGTCATAGAATGTTATTTTATGATGCACTTATGCTCTAGGTAATTTGTAACGCCTGAGAATTGTGGGTAAAAGTACTTACACTGCCAATTACTACTTTTTATGCACTAGTTATTGCACTCATGTCTTCACCAAAAATTAAAAACCTAAAACTAGCAATCTGTGGATCACTGATGTTGACTGTACAACAGAGGATGCCTTTGATATAAACAGTCGACATTTTCTCACGCATAATTTGCAGTATTAGAGATGCCATCCAATTTTTGCAATATCATTGATCTCAGTGCACTGTATCTGTGAAAAACAAAAGTACAACACAGATTAAAATGAATACATTGTTGTTTTGTTATAGGAACACAGATATTTGTGAAACTTACTTTCTTGTTAGTTTTAAAATCTCTCGCTCTTCCTCCTCTTTCAGTTTCTTGATGAAACTGCCCAAAACAGGCATTTCAAACTTAATATACTGTGCAACCTGTAAGACAATGCATTATTGCATTAACCACTGAGATATAAGCACAGAGTATTCTGAATATTAACAATAATATCACAGAGAACCTGCACATATGCATCAACATTTTCATATTACAATGAATGTTGAGACTGCAATAGAAATATTTGTACTATTGTTAGTCCCCAGGATAGGATCCTAAAATTTGACTTGATATGTAGCATCTGGAAGTGGCATTATTGTTTACTGTGTCTATATTTGAACAACAGAATGTTAGTTTGCCAGGGGAAGCACGTTCTGAATATCCTATTGTGAACTTTAAAATGTACAAAATACTCACATCATATGTAATCTCTTCACCAAGGTCCTTTTCCATAATAAATATTCGGGCGATTTTTTCGCATGGACCATGTAACAGACGAGATACCAAAGGATATTCTGTGTCCTTAAGTTTTCCTCTCTCTACAGACAAAAGATGGGGAAAATATAATAATTATAATCTGCAGATCAGTTGACTCTTCTTAAAAATAAGGTAAAGTTAAGAATGAAAAGGCTCACCCCCTGATTCATGGACTAGGTAGAGGCCAAACTCATCTGCCTGATTCTCAACCTGTACAGAACAGGGAATTAACATCAAGTAAAAGATTGTAGTATTCAGCCGAATAAGGGAAAACTTACCCGAAACTTATTAAGGAGTAGGTTAAGAACTTGCTGTGTTGTCAAAGTGCTGTTCACTCGCACATTAGTCACCGATCCATATGACGGAGTAAAAACTGATGTCTGTAAAAAAAGGAGATCAATTTCAGCGATAATTAATTGTGTGATATTTCTTAAATGATGTGGCACACACACAATTAGTGTAAAATTTGGCAAATTAGATTTGGAAAAAATAATATAAGCTACAATAAAATTAATATAATGTTCTTACTATGACAGGTAATATAATCTGTGGTCATCAATTTATCTTTGTCAACAGACAATTGTTTCATTCAGATAAGGAAGTAGTAGACACTTTTGTTCACAATAAAGTAACAATAAATTTTAGTGTACAATTGCTGTAAAAACCATAACAAAAAGGGAAACAAGAGCAGCAATAAAATAAACAATTGTAGAATTAAAATAAAATATAAAAAAAACCTTAAACCTATTTTATTTCAGCTAGTTGCCAAAGCAACATTTCTTATTTCATTCAGTTTAATGTACTAAAATAAGTAAAACTACAACTGAAATAAAAATAATAAAAACCTATTTTAAAAAAACAATAACTAATAAAAATGAGAAAACAAAACAAAAATACTAAAACTAATTCAAATGAAAGCAGAATATCTATCTATCTATCGAAGCACCAGGCCAACTCATATGACCTTTAAGGACCATTTATGAGAGAGAGGCAGGTGACACTCGATAATAAAAGCACATGGTGCAGCCGAGGGGAAGGCCTGCACAGGAAAACACTGCCTCTCAACACCTGCATCCATCTCACAACACTGATGTACAACATAAACACTTAGACGACGGAAACTTCCTGTCACAGATGCTGCTGTGGCACTTTATGAGAGCACAGGCCCCTTGCCAGGCACAAGGCGTGCTGTCTTTCACTGAGCACTATTGTGCTATTGTCCTGAACTTGGAGCATGGAGGAGTTCCAACTCACCCCTGCCTTCCATCTGAGACGCTGCACTGCTGATCTCTAGGTGAAAGCTTTATTGTTCAAATTCAAGTGCACTAAGGTTAACTGTGCTTTTTTATTATATTAAAGAAAAAAACGTCTTAACACAAAAGTTTTGTTTAAATTACTTTGTGGTTGTAAAAATGGCCATTGATGGAGAAGCGGTGTCTTTTTATCCTCTGTGAATCGGCAGTGTTGTGGATTTTGGATCTTCTTTGGATATTCACAAAGCTTGCGTCACTTCTCGTTCTCAGCAGTTGAGGGATGTCCTCCTCAGCTCCATCCACACCTGCAGCAGAACAGCAACCAGAAACAAGAGCAGGCTAATATTAAGATGAGTCATTCAATGATGTGTTGGAAATGTGGTGAACATCTAGATATGCATTCAGTTCAGTTAAAACTTCTAATCTATAACAACCACAAATGTTGTCCATTTTCCAACACGAATCAATAACATTTTTGATAAGATTTTCCTAACTGTGTGTGGAATGATATGGATCATTTTCATACTCACTGGGTATAGGTGAGGCACTGATTTTGTTGTTGTTGGGCTCTGAACAAAACTGGTGTTCAGCAGTTTCATTCCTGTAAACAATAACCACATAACTAAAATACATAATGGAAGCTTCATAAAAATAGTTTTTCGTGGAAGAAAACATTAAATTTAGTTATTCTATCTCAAGAAACCATACTACATATTATGAGCTGTATTGTTATTTAAATGAAGTTTGGAAACTTTTTGTTATTAATATTTGGGACATTGGGACATGTTACTAAACATTTGTGATTTTATTTTCTAGCAATAAGCTTTACTGATCTTACACAAGCATCTGATTTCACACTTTTTTAGATATCATACAATATTTTATCAATATTTAATACAAAATTTATAATTTTTATATATTATTCATGGAAAGTGCCATTGTTATTTTAGTATCATTGAGATATGGTTATAGTTTTTCTTAATATTATGAACTAGTTTTGCTTTTTATATTTTATACTTTTAGTATAAAGTTTTAGTGATTTTCTTTTGTGTTTGTGTTATTTTAAAAGTTTTGGGTTTTTTATGTCTATATTTTTTTTCTCAATTTAAACAACATGATTTTTTTTTTCATGTAATAAAAATGTTTTATTTATGGTTTTAGTTTTACATTTAGTTAACAACAATAACCCTAAAGTGCCAACAATGAACTAATTAATTCAATTATTTACTCATGTAAATAATTTTTACTTTAACTTGATTGATTTTCTATTCAAAAGAGTAACTGGAAACTTTCATTGGAATAAGAAACATCTGATTACTCTGACTAATCTGTTGTTGCTATACAATAATACAATCACAATGACAATCTTTTTATGCTCACGTGCAGAATCTTCTTGCTCACAGTATCAAATCAAGGTCACTGCAGCTTTCAACATTAGAGCTGATTAAAATTTCCATGATTCAGAAGACTACTGCACGTGAGAATAAGTAGCAGCCCAGGACTCTGAATAACCAGTTGCTCTGTTGGTGAAAGATCAACACCACATAACCGCAGTTTTCACCCAGTTTCACCCACGTGCCATAATGTTCCTCAAAACAAAACTTTCTAATAATGACCTTGACCACGCCATCAACCCCTTTACAGAAGTCCATCAAATTTCAAAGTAATAATTTGTTGGCTTTTTAAGAAAAGTAAACAGCATTCTACAGTATGATCAAATCTGAACTGACTGAGAATGATAAAGGAGCAGCCATTTAACCATAAAAACCTGTACACACTTATCAAATCCTGGCCCATGCCTGGAGACTTCTATGACTGAGTTATTGAGAGAAACAGATGGAGTTATGACCTAATGAAGGAAAGGACACATCTGGGGGTGGTGTAGCAGCAGCATTCAGGCGGTTCCACTCACCTGCTGGACTCTGAGCTCTCCGATCTCCACGCACTCATGCAGGCATAGCGAAAGCGCTCGTTGTCATCGTGCATTTGCAGACTGATTGGCCTCCTCAGGCCCCAGGAGATGTTGAGTAAACCCTCCATGATCAGCTCGCCCTCTTCCTGCAAGAAACAATAATAATAATCATTAACTCCTTTGTCAGATGGAGGAAATCCTGCTGGCTCATGTCTCAGCTCTGTTTCAAGTGTACGTGCTGGAGAGGCAGTTGTAAACCACATATATTCAATTGGAGGCGGCGAAGTTATGGAAAGTCACTTTGGGAGGAGTACAATACAGCACACGTACTAGATGTATTATTCGAGAGTTTGATTCTGAACAATAATGTGCTTTCAATTCAGTAATATTCACTGTCAGTTAATATATATGTAACGAATCAGCTCATGGGAAATATGAATAATTAATCATAACTAGTTATAATTAATTATGAATATTTTAGATCCGCTGTAGATATTTAGCTGACCTCTCAGGGTCAACTGTCTTGTCAATTCTAAGAACGTTAATTTCCTGGTTAAGGGAAATAACTTCCTTACTGTACAATTCTACAAAAGCTTGTAGCATAAATCTGCATGATTAAGTGACTCCAGTTATGAGCAAACAATGAACCACGTCAAGTGTGATACAAGTAAGGTTTTATTAACTACATAAACACTTAAA